TTGATGTCCGTGAAACTCTGACGAGCAGTCTGTCACAGCCTCTCGTTTGTTGTCCTCTTCTCCCTCTCTGCCTACAGTTCACCGTGAGGGTATCTATGACAACATACAACAAGAAATATACATATATGTATTACACTACTGATGAATCATTCGAACTTAAATGTGCAGGGTATACCCTCGTCATGCTAATGAGCAAATCGAAGTCCGCCAAAAACAGTCCATCACAGTCCCCTGTTTCTTGTACTTTTCTCGCATTCTGCGCAAAGGAACTGTATGTTTTCTTTACATAAAGAAACAGTCCCCTCCTCAACTAAGGTTTTCACATGCCTTTGAAACTCTCCTTTGTTCTCTGTTTCCCTTCTTTCCCTTGAAGCCCTGTGCCTCTGCCCGTTCCACTTCCGCTAGCTTTCAGCTTGGCTTTTGCTCTCCTGCACTTTCCTGCCCTCCCGTGTGTGCCTTTCTTGCCGCGGGCAGCTCTCTTTATACCTCTACCTTTCAATGCAGTTGCTTTCTCTCTCTTTGTGAACTTTCTCCCTCCACCTCCTCCAACCTTTCTTCCTCCCTTTTGGCCATCTCCTCTGCCTACCCTTGCCCTCTTCGATATGGGAATGTACTCTTCATCACTCCACCCTCCTCCAAACTTGTAGTCCTCCGATTGGTCATCGTCGTCATCTTTCTGCTGCTTCCCTCCTGGCTTCCCCCTCTTGCCTACCCTCTCACTTTCCACATTGCCAGCAACGCCTAATTCGCTGTCACTGTCATAGAGTACATCCTCAAGGACTCCTGCAGCCGCACAGCCAACACAAACGATGAAACCACGGCGTAGAAACATCTGCTAAAGTATCTGACAAACAACTAGAAGAAAAAGAGAAAAAAACGAAAAGCAAAAAGAAAAGAGGAAAACAAAACAGAACTATCTTCTGTGGAGCTCGAAAGCCCTCAGCTGGAAGCCTTTATGGCCCCCCCAAAAGAGAATGCAGGGTCACACCTCAGCTGGAAGCCTTTATGGGCCCCCTAAAAGAGAATGCAGGGTCACATTATGTATGTATCTAAGGATGATGGGGCTCGAAAGCGATTGTTTCTGAAAGCCCTCAGCTAGTGCCAGCGGCGTGTCTGGAGTGTATTTTCTGTCTTTGACAGACTTTTGTTTGTTTCCTGGGTCTTTTGCTGGCTTATGATGGGTTGTGAACAGTCTGTGGAGTTTTCCATCTCATGTGGGTGAGTGATAACCTGCTTTAATTTTCGTCACAGGTACCTTGAGGGTAGGGCAGTGGCTGGTGCCCACCTCAGGGTATCAGTTGTAGGGCAGTTATTGATGCTTAACCGCAACCGGGGTTAAGGTGGATTATCACTTACAGTATCATAGGTTAGGAGACTCCGCAGACAGCAGAGGGTTCAGCCTCCTCGTCAGTTGGTGAAACTCTGACGGAACAGTCTGGCACAGCCCCTCTTTTGTTGTCCTACCTGTAGTTCACCGGGAAGTTCTATATGACGAATTATGTAATATATATCGTCATAGAGAACTGCCCGGTGAGCCGTAGGGAGAGAGGGAGGAGAGGACAGACAGACAGGTGGCTGTTTCATCGGAGTTGCTCCCCTCGTTTGTTGTTCTTTTCTCCCTCTCTGCCTGCTCCTGCTACACTGTCCTCAAGTCAGGCTAAACGGCAGTGGTCATAGCCGTCACTACGTGGACGTACTGTGCCTCTAGTGCCAACAGTGTGTCTGGACTCTGGAGTGCATTTCTGGCTGTGACAGACCTTCCTTTGTTTCGTGGGGGGTTGCCGGCTTATGATGGGGTGTGAACCTGCTGTATGTAGAGTCTTCTGTCTGGTGTGCGTGAGTGATAGGTTGCTTTGATTTTCATCACAGGTGCCCTTTAACCGCTAGCACAAGGCCCCAGCCAGCTTCAAAAAACTCATGGCTCACTCCAAAAATTTTGGAGGCTTGGGGCTCCCAGACCACAGTGGCTGGCGGCAAAAGCCAAAAAAGAGAAAAAGTGCACCGCTGGCGGTTCGGCTAAACTTATCAATCCAAGTCCTCCAGGCTCGGGTGAACTGGTGGTTTAAGGGTAGTGGTTGGCGCCCGCTTCAGGGTATCAGTTGTCGGGCAGTCGTTGATGCTTAAACCACCCGTACACTTCCCAGCCATTTTGCAGAAACAGGCTGTGCATGCTGGCATCTCAAGCAGGATGCAGCAGGGTGCCGTTTCGCCGGAAATCCATCCAGGCAAAACGGGTTGCATGCGAGGCCCGATTTGCCTTTTTGATTTTGGGCGAAATGGCACCCTGGTGCATCCCGCCTGATGTGCCAGCATGCACAGCGCGATTCTGGAAAATGGCTGGTAAATGTCCTGGTGGTTGAACCCCAACCAGCTTTAAGATGGACTATCACTTACAGTATTATTGGTTATGGGGCTCGGCAGACTGTAGAGGGATCAACCTCCTGATGAGTCAGTGAAACTCCGACGAAACAGTCCCTCACAGCCCCTTGTTTGTTGTCCTTTTCTCCCTCTATGCTTACGGTCCACTGCGGACTTCTCTATGACAATATGTATATATCTTGTCACACATCTATCAACTAAAAGAGCGCACTTTGCGAGACAAATGAAAAAGAGCGCACTTCCCGAAACAAATGAAAAAGAGCACACTTCGCGAAACACATGAAAGAAATAGAAGACAACATGAAGCACACCGAAACCATTCTTCTGCCTTTTCCTGTACAGCTCTTTCTTTTCTTTCCTTACTTCGGCTTTTTTCTTCCCATGTTTTGCTGTTATTTTTTCTTCTTTAAGCTCCCCCTATACTGTGCCTCTCACGTACAGGCTCGTCATGGTGATGAAGTTGCGCACGAGCTGCCCGCTTGAAGTTTTCTTCCCATAACGGCAGAGGCAGAGTAAAGCGACAAGGGGGAAGACAAAGTCATGACTACACTGGATGGGGGGGGGAGAGAGAGAGAGAGAGAGAGAGAGAGAGAGAGAGAGAGAGAGAGAGAGAGAGAGAGA